AGCTATTTAATACCTTAGCCGTGCTAACTAAGCATACACTTAGCCTATCTAGGTAAAACTTCTATATCTTAGCTTTAAAATAAGCTAACCCGATTAGGAATAGCTCTAGTATTTAGTAAGTTATACTAGTTTAAAAACTAGAACTTTTAAGAACATATTTTTTTCATGTCACCCCTCTGTACATTAATACCAGCCTGCTTGCATGCCAGTCGAATCATAGCCTCGTGCGCATATCCGTTGGGCTGTGTGATACCCTGGGTCTTGCCATCCGAGTTTGCTACTGCTGATCTGATGACGGCTCGGATTGGGTTTCCATCTCGAATAGCAGCATCTAGGGGCTTAATGAACACTGCGGTAAATGCTTCACCACGTGCATATCCGTCCGCATCAGCAGAGAAGGTCTTGCAAGAACCGTTGGGCGACAGAATCCCCTTCTCAGTCATCTGCTGGGTCATGCCAGGTGCCAGAATTAGATTGCTGCCAGCTATAATCGCGCCCTCGCAGATTCCTCTTTGGATCGCGGCAAACGCCTCAGCGAGGCCTGTCAGTGCTGATGAACAAGCAGTGCGGATAGTCATGCTGTACAATGTTAGTCGCTCAGTACTTGTGAAATCGGAATGGTGGGGCAAACCTTGGTCCAGTCAATCCAAACTCATAAGAGATACGGTTCGCAAGCATCCAATCTTGGTAACCATCAATCTTATTCGCACCGTGCCAGAGCGGGTCTCGGTTCATCATCTCTCCCCAGTCCTCGCACATGTTTCCGAAGTAACAACCAATCTTTTTGCCCTAGAGTTAATGTTAGCAGGAGTGAGCAGATTCCCAAAAATTGCGAAAGCGCTTACCCTAAAGTTGGCTTCTCCAGCGTCCTCTAGTGCCTCCGTAACCACTTCCAATAGGTGTCGTTGCTGAGGGTCAGAAAACTCGACATCGGAACGGCTCATGGAAAACCGACTGGTATCCAAGGCACCGAGTTTGACACTTTCGTCAAGGAAGTATCCATATTCAGTGGCTACAGTTGTAGGCCGCTTTGTGGTTTCGTGATAGGCTGACACGTTATAACGTGTCATTGGAACTCGGACTCTGCCGTCCCCTTTGTTGACGAGGAACTGCCAGAATTCCTGAGGAGTGTGATTTCCTCCAGGGAGTCGGAGACCCATACCGCAGATTGCGACGGGAATGACATTATTGTTAGCGTCATCCACGTGCAAACCATTGATACCGTTCTCGTGCGAACCACCATTAACATGGCCGTTGGTGCCGTTGGCACCGTTAGCATGGCCATTAGTACCATTAGCATGGCCATTAGTACCATTAGCATGGCCATTAGCATGGCCATTGGTGTGAGAGGCACCGTTGCCATTGGTGACGTTCGTTCCGTTTGTGATCGACATTTTTGCTGCTAGATAAAGATTCTTGTCGGAAAGATGTCACGAGATTCCCTGTGGATGACTTCTGGGGAGAGATTGTTTGCTGAAGAAGCTGGGTGATGATTGCGAGTTGCCTTGCTCCTAATCCAAGGGACTTTGCATTCTAATTATCCTCCTACAACTACTCGACATCTTCGGGCCATGAAGCCATGAGAGCAACATCGGTTGTCGGAGTGAACGCCAACGGAACTGAGCAAGCAGCATTCTCCCCGGTTGCTGAATCTCGGATTCTAGACCTCATACGAGACTCTTTCGGTCCTTGGTAGCAAACATTATTTGCACTCCGAATCACGATCCAGGCATACCGACCGGTGCATACGCAGCCGGGCTTGAGTGTGGTCAAACCTGGACGAAACATCAAGCGGTTCGCCCCGAAGGGGCTCATTGTCTGCCACCCCCGGTTGAATGGAATGAGCTGCAACACGCGCTTGGCTGACCGTGGTAGGGGTTGCGGCTAAGCAAAAAACCCACCCCGATGCATCACGCCAAGAGCCCGTGTATCACGTGATTGGCTTGGCCCATGTGAAGAATATCCGTCAGTCTAGAAAGTTCTTACTTTCAAAAAAAAAGCCTTTCCCTGCATCAGTCTTCTGCCAAGATATCGGAGTTCCCACTACATCCAGATATGGCGCTCACATGAGATTCTGCTGATTTCTATGTGTTTGTTCAATATGTGACACAAAAGTGTTTCGCAGAGCCGGCCGACACTTCACTGAGATTTTGCGGCTCTCGGACACGGTAGAGAATTTCGGCATCGACCATATTTCGAACTCGTTTGGTGCCCGAGAGGGATCGTCCCGGATTCAGGGTCTCAGGCACACCTTTCGCGCCCACCATCGGCCGTGGGGTCTATAGGAACTTTCCGTTAATCCTGAGTAGGCAGGCCGTGAAACGGGCAGAAACCCCTCTATCCCTAAATAGTAAATACCTTTCCATCTGCCTGAACATATGGCAATATATAAACATGAATGTGCATCCCAATAACACCCAATGATCACCACACAGAATCCTGCCACTCTTTGCGAAGAACTTGGCTACTTTCACGTCAAGGACATCGTTCACCAGATCCTTTTTCAACTTCGACAGCTCAATATCCTACTTCCTCGCCAAGATGGTAGCCAAGACCGCTGAGGGCACGAAAGATCTCGGGGCCCAATGGAGAGAAGAATGGGCTGCTGCGCAGAAAGTCAAGGCGCCGAGCTTGAAAAACAGCTCGGTATTCTACCGCAACATTGAGGAGGAGCTCGACCTCCCCCGAAAGCAGGGTCTTTCGTTCCCAATCCATCTCCCTAGTCATACTGTTGATTTCTCCACTTGCGATGTTCTCGGGATGACCCATACCGGCGCACTGAGGGAAGAGTTCCTCAAAGAACTTGACGCGAACCCAAACTTCTACATGGGCGCAGGTGGCTCGCGACTGTTGGACGGAACTACAACGTACCAAGATAACTTCGAGAAGGAGCTGGCAGAGCTCATGGGCATTGAGTCGGCGCTGGTCGTTCACTCTGGATACACCGCCAACCAGGCCATCTTCTCGACCGTCCCGAGATCTGGCGACGTGATTGTCTACGACGAGCTGATGCATGCTACTGCTCTTTCTGGCATGAAAATCGCTTTGGCGTTAGATCAAAGACCCTTCCGCCACAACAATGTGGACCACTTTATTGAAGTCATGGAAGGCGTCAAAGAATCGAACCCTCTGGTCAAGGCCGGCAAGCGATGTGTCATCGTCGGTGTCGAGAGCTACTACAGTATGGATGGCGACATCTGCCCCCTCAAAGAGCTCATCGAAGCCGCCAAGGATATTTTCCCTCATGGCAACGCCCAATTCATCGTTGATGAGGCCCACAGCTTCGGTGTTTGCGGCCCTGAAGGAACTGGCTTTGTTAGAGAACAGGGTCTCACCGATGAAGTTGCCGTCACCATGGTCACATTCACCAAGGCTCTTGGCGGATGTGGTGGTAAGTACACACGAGATCCTAACTCAATGAGTGATACTGACATCTTCCCAAGCGGCCATCTTGTCCAACAATACGATTCGCTCGCTCCTCACTACTCAAGCTAAGATGTTCATTTGCTCCGTCGCACCTCCATTCACTCTGGTAGCGTCATGCCGTGCCGGCATTCGACTCATGCGATCCCAAAAGTTCCAAGAGGTAAAGTGCACACGGCCATCATTGTCTCATAGTCTGTTCAACTAACCTCCTTCAGGCTCGCGAGTATCTCCATGATCTCACTGTGTTCTACTTGGACACACTGACCTCGCATCCTGTTTACAAGAAGGCCAACAAGAAGGGTTTGGTCGACCTGCCAGTTCACGAGGATGGTGCCTGGCATGAAGTACCAATCACCCACATTGTGCCTCTCTGGATTCGTCGCAACAAGGCCGCGCTTTACCTTGCCTTCCACCTCACCAGAGATGGCTTCAACGGGTGCAACATTATGTTCCCCATTGTTCCCAAGGGTGAGGACCGCGTGCGCCTGTTCATTCATGCACACAATACAAAGGAGGAAGTCAAGGCGTTGATCGACTCCATCGCCGCCTGGCTCCAAGAAATGATGGACATTGAAGCCAGTGGTGACAAGAACAAGCTTCCGAGCGCAGCACGTCTTGCGTTTGAACTCCTCGAAAAGGACAAGGAAGCTATTGAAAACGGCAAGGAGGCTACTGAGAACACGAAACCGGTGAGCAAGGACAACAGCGGTGCGAAGAACCTTATGAACGGTATTAGTTCCTTCAAGAACAGTGGGTTGGTCAATGGTTTGAAATTTGGGGAGTTACCTACGCGCATGTTCTAGAACGGGTGTTTTATATTACATAGTTTAGATCCAGCTCACTGCAGTTTTGGTATTTAAGAGTAAAGATTTTCCTTCAAACTATTTGTTGTGCACTCCTTTTTTCATCTCTGTGATTCCTTGCTTTCTGAGATGAACTTGAACATACTGAGTCACTCGACTTCCTCTATGAAATACTTCTTCCATATAGCATGGATTTCAGTAAATTAATAATTTCCTTCCGGGGAAAGATCACTAGAATCAACATTCTGGAGTTGTCAGGACCTATCCAAAGCTAGCTATGCGGGATGAGAGCTTTGGCTATTCAATCAAAATCACTTAATCCGATCTGCAAAATTACGCAATCATTACTCGATTCCAACTACCCTGGAAGAGTGGCTAACAATGCATTTTCCACTCTAAATACTCCCAAACGCACGTATCTTACTTTTAAACAATAACGCAGATAAGCGTTTTCTCTTTGAATCTCTTTCTCCTCCCCCATCATAAAGAACACGCACTATGAAATATCCACATCTCTCAATGAGGAAACCCTTCTCTTTACCTGTAGTCCTCACACTTGATAAGGATTTTTTCTGTTGCAATGCCGACTAGCCTTTTTTAACTTTTACTTCATATAACTATTGCGATTTTCAATAACCCTATATCTCTACACCTCTTTGGATAACCAAAATACAACTTAACAAAACTATTTAACATGATCTTCTTATTAATTGATTCATGATGGTTATGAATAGGAAGGGAGAATGGTTTTCAGATGCTGAAGTGCTCTAGTGATACTATCTTCAAGCCGCGATTAAAACTTCTAATGCGAAACATGTAAGAATCAAAGGCCAATTAGGTCTTGCTATTTTTACCACACTTTTGGTGGTCGCTTCAAAGGGAGTGGCATGAAAATCCTGGCCGATGAACGTAATGAGAGACCAGATTTGCAGACAGACTGATGTCGAAATAAAAGAAAAAACACGTTTGGTGACTTTTTCAAACAACTCTTAGGCTTAAGACAACGCATTGATGCAATAAATTCATAAAACATCTATATAGTTGCATATATGAGAGTATGCAGTCCTCAGTATATAAATAAGCTACCACCTAAGGGGTGGAGCCTTCCCGGTCTAGGGTTGCTCAGCAGTACATAGATTAAATCTCCCATGTACTCCAACGGATCAATCTTGCCAACCACTTTCCAATAGCAATGCCATTCAATCTCATTAAACAACCTCTTCTTTACACACGAGCAGCCTCTTCTCTAGGCCACAAACTAGTGCGTTTTCCATCGTACCAGCACGTGTTTCTTACCTCTTAGGAGTCCACTTTTCTCCGTCAATCCATGGATCCAAAACCAGTCCGGCACTACCAGGGTTCTTATACCCAGCCTCGACCTGCTTCTCGTAACTGATCTGACGAAGCCTCTCAGTTTCTCTAGGTGTCATTCGTAGATATAGCTCCACGCCGATCATGTGAAGAAACAGGCAAATCCACAGCTAAACCAACAACTCGTCAGTCTAATCATGCTCATCTCAAGTACCACCACCAGTATCCCGGGATCAAAAACTCACCATCGTACTAAACGGCGCCACAGAACTCGCCCCAAACCGCTCCAAATGCACTGGATCCTTCCAAGCCGCAACCGCAACCCTCTTCCACCGATCCAGCGACCCATCCGACAAGATGCACTCCGGGTACGTCTCCCTCGGAAACTGCATTCCCAGATTCAAGTACAGAAAGTTAATCTCATCGCACGTCCATACGGCCCAGTAATTCCCAAACTTTGTAATGACATCCCTCGCCGCAAAATTAATTACGCGCGCCGTAATCGTCACAGCCATGTAAAACATGGTGCGCAGCATCCACGCGCGATGCTGCTCAATCTGCTTGCGGCGAATATTCCACCACCCCATGAAAATCCCGATTGTCGTTAGAATGCCCATGAGCGTCTCGACCGCATGGCTGTTGATCCGATTGCCGCCCTGCTTGTGCCTAATTACAACAAAAGCGGAAGCGTTGCTGATCAAGCATAGAAGCAAGACGACGTAGCCGTTGAGCCGGTGGAACAGCATCCATTTGTGGCGGATGATGGGGGTGAATTGGAAGGTCATGAGGATGCCGGCAGGCAGGATGGCGGCGAGGTGGATCAGCATGCCGTAGCGGTAGGAGCCGCTGTGGAAGTAGTACCAGTACCCGGGGACGAGGGCGAAGTTGCGTTTGAAGTAGCCGTCGTAGTCGAGGTCGGCGAGGCGGGAGAGGGAGAAGCCGAGCATGCCGCCTGCGAAGATTACCCCTGGGGTGGAATTTGTTAGGTTTATGATGGAGATGTAAGGGGGAGGGGGTTAGAGGGGGAAGACTTACATAGTGGAAAGTTGTATCCCTTGTTGAATCCGAAGAAACGATATACCTTTCGATATGCAATTGCATATTTATTGGTAGTCTCTTTGCTCTCAGATGCCGAGCTGGTCTCACTGGGGTTCTGGGCGTCTTCCTCTTTGGTCATGGCGACGGAAAGGGAAAAGTGAAAAAGGGGGGGCTTGAAGGTACAAGAACCTGAGGGTTGACAGTGAAACAAACAGGTGTTTGAGTGAAGGATTCCGTTTACTTTCAAAGTCAAAAGAAATACCTTAAGCATCGCTGGAGCTGATATACTACATGGCAAGATGGTCATAGCACGAGAAACTTTCCGCTTCACTACCCGTAGCCGCTCTGGCCGTGTCTGCGTGACATTGTAGCCCGCCGATTTCCGACGCTGAGTTAGTAATGTTCAAAGTATCACTCCATCGGAGACTTGGGGGGTTCGCTCGAGCCAAGGTTTTGTTCGTGTGGAGATGGTGGGTGCAGCAGTGGGAGGCCATGGTCCACGGGATCCGACTACTCTGCCCGAATGACCCCCGCCCCGACGAGGTTCGTGCATTAATTTATTTGAAACTTAAATCTTTTAGGAGTGAGGCAACTGCAAATTTTGTGCGTCGGCATGCTCCGATTGCTGTTGCGGCACCCGTTGCCGCTCTGTATGCATCCCAAGAAATGCCAAGACCCCGATGGTGGTCGGTGTAACCTAGGACCAGGACCTCCTATTGGCATGTGTTCACGAACTAAGTAGTCCTTCACCGTCTTAGTTTTGTATTAGCAATCCATGAAGACTATCGGTGTTTCTGAGATTTGTTGGTGGGGAGAGTGCAAAATTTAGGGCTGCTTTCCAGCGGCCATTGCTTTGTTTGCTGGCATGTTTATCAAAGAACTTCAACAAGGATCAAAGAGTTCGTAATGGATACAAGTTGAAGGTATTGATAGTTTCCTAGGTCACAGAAAAATTGGACAACGTAGCTCATTTGGACGTCGAAGTGATTAAATACTTGAGTTTGACGTCTTCAAGAATAGATAGGAGTCCTTACGTGATACACTTGGTAAAAAGGCCTAATTCTATCATCATTTGATGTCGGTATATTGCTTGAGTTTTATCTTGTGTTCCACTAAGTTGTGGTGTTTAAAGTGATGTGGATACGCTAGGGGGGTTCGGGATGTGCAGCAGTCAAATAGGAGAAATTTCAAGAAAGCTTCATAAGCACGAAATTTCTAGAGACCTTCGATTTAGCAATGGGGAAAGTATAGTAAGTTTCTGCCATGATAGTAAAGGCAGGGAAACCCCCTCTTTCTTGTATAGTGATGTGCCGCTGTGAGATGCTACTAAGATTCAAAGGCCCTTATTTTGCAAAGTTCTAGTCCAGACGAGCATATGCTGAATCAGAGAGTGTTTAGCTTCAATCTGAATTATCTCCATTCATTTACATACTCCTGATTATAGCTTTTATCGCATGTCTCCAAAGTGCTGTATGCCGTAAGTGGCAGTTATTATTGCATCGAAATGCTGTGAAAACCGCTTACAAAACCCCAAGCTAACGTGTAGAACATACCAAACGATCGTTTTAGTACGGAGCAAAAGGTGTGAAACTGTGCCCTTTCACCCACCAACTTCCTTAACTCCATTTTCATGTGAGCCTCGTCCCCCAAATCGAATTGCCAATGCATCACTTTAAATAGTCTCAAGCCATGGCTGCGACTTGGCCACCGCCCACCTTGCGGAACTATAGTTATATCAGGAAACTGAGCTAGATTCAATATCAACAGAGCATACTTACACCAAGGGTGGGTGAGAGAAGAACCAAGAGACCACTGGCAACCATGGTCATGATGTAAACATTGCTCATTACGTCGGTAATGGCGTTTGCAAGCCGAAGTTGTACATCTGTGGAGAAGCTCTTCCACTCGGCGCTGCTCGAGCCGGCAAGAATGACACGCGGGTTGCCAGTAGAGTCGGATGGTAGGTACGGAACGATGGCCTGGCGACCCACGTTCTGGAATACGTTGCCGCAGAGAGCGGGGAAAAGGGTAATTCCAATACACTGCATGAGGCTGACGACACCAATGGAGTTGAATACATCCTTGGGCTCGACAACGTCCGAGATACAACCAAAGGCGGCAATCATGTAGCAACCTCCGCCAATACCCAGCACAACGCTGTATCCGTAAATTGCTGAGGTGCTTGTGCTAACTTCGACCGTGTACATGAGTGCACCTCCAACAACGGCCAGAAGGGAACCAACGAGGAACCAAGGCATGTAGTAGCCCCACCTCGACATGAAGAAACCATTCATAATGGCCGTGAAGGAGACCATGAAGACGAAAGGAAGGAGTTTGACAGCAGCGTTGACGGGAGACTCGCCCTTGGCAAACTGGAAGAAGAGCGGGATGTAGTAGATGGGGATGTATACAGCCGCAGCAGCAGCGAAAGTGGCGTACTGCAGAATGCCCAGCTTGAAGTTGCGGAGTAGGTGGCTAGGGTAGAGTCGGTTTTCCACATCGATGAAGGGGTGGAACCTGTGGGTCAGGTAGAAAACGATTGCGAGAACGCCGACAAAAACCCAGAGGATGATCATGCTGTAAGAATCCCATTCGAAAAGGGTTCCTCCATAGGTGATGGCCATGAAGAAGGAGACGCACCAGCCTGTCCATACAAGTAGTCCAAGCCAGTCAACCTGGCCCAGCCTCTCTTTGGCGGACTTGCCCTTTGCGAAATCGATGGACGGCAAGATAAAGACCAGAACAGGTCCGGCCAGTGCGAAGATCAAGAGGTTGATGTAAAATCCCCATCGCCATCCGAGACTACTTTCAGCAAATCCTCCACCGACCTGTGTGTATGAGATCAGTCATGCGCATACGATTTAATAGGAGTGAAGGGGAAAGTACTTACTATTGGGCCCAGGGCAGTTCCAATTCCCCAAGTTGGCGAGATGAGAGAAATGTAAAGAGGGCGCTCCTTGGTCGTAGTCACGACGCTGAAGAAAGTTAAGGAGCCGACGTAGATGCCGCAGCCGCCAATACCAGCAATCATGCGCCCAACGATGAGAGAGTTCATGCTTGGAGCGGCAGCGGAAATGGCACTGCCGACCTCAAAGCAGACGACGTAACCGAAGTAGAGCCATTTAATGTCGAAAGCTCCATACATCTTGGACTGAATGAGGGCAAAAGCAGTGGCTGGGAGGGCGTAGGCGGTGGCAAGCCATGGGTACTTTTCAAATTCTCCGAGAGATGCAATGACGTTGGGCTGTATGTCTGCCACGACGGTAGTATCGAGAGCGAAGAGGAAGACGCAGGAGAGAACGGCTGCGACAGTCATGACCCACTTGACACCATGGATCGTACGCTCGTACTCTGGTCCTCCGTCGTCTGTGGACTCGATTGCCTCTGGCGGCTTCTCATTGAGGGCCGGGCTCTGAGAGCGTCTTAATTGTGTGTCGTTCATTTGAGCGCCGTTGTCAAGCGAACGTTTTGGCGACGGCGATGTATCGGGAGTAGAGGAGGAAGCGTATTTTTCCGACGATGCTGACATGGTGAAGGTGAGTTGTTGTCTTTCACTTGACTGAGTGTAGTGTCTTGGCGGATGTGCTATTAGGGACAACTACTGCCCGCCGCTACACAAACAGCCTTGTATGTGAAGTCGTTTGTCGTGCTTGCTATTCGCGCGTTTGTTCCGTAGGTGGAGTGGAGTGTCGGCAAGGTGCACAGTTTGCAGGTCGTAGAAGAAGATTGGCGACACAAGGTACAATGGAGTTTTGGGTGCTATAATCAAGTTCGATGGTGTAACCGGGAAGGAAATGGCTTTTGTATGTTGTTTGCAACTAACAGGCACGGCCCAGTGGATGCTTATGAAATAACATGATTGAGGTTACACGACGGTTGCGTGCCAAGATATGCAACTGGGTGACCATTGGCAGAAACAAAGGGGGATTGCCTCGAAAACAATATACATAAAAGGATGAAAAGGCAGTCAAGAAATGTCAGCCAACAGGGCGAGCACAACAGCCTTGGCTAGAAGATTCGAGCTCAAGAACAAGTGCGGCACAGATGTCGAGATTAGGCAGCCAAGAGAAGTCGAGCGCGATGCCCATGGTGAATTGGTGGATAGTATGCATCGATGCATTTCTCGAATGGGGGATTCAAGAGAATTCATTATTCAGCAACGTCCGACAACGAGAGGCCATAAGACGACACCCCTGCCACGCTAATGCAGCCGGCTGACCTTTTCTCGCTTATAGGCATCACGTGATAGTCTGGCCGCTCGGCAGCTATCTGATTGGTTCCACTGTCTTTCTCTGACAGGTCACAGACTTTACACTTTCAATCTCCTGAGACGCTAATCATGCAACTGGCTGACCTTCTATACCAAAACCACGTCATTGTACTACCTTTCTCCCAAAATCTAAGGCCCCGCTCGCGATCCATCAATATACTGTAGGAAACGGCATCTTGGCGTTTTCGCTTCACGTGCAGCCCCGACAACGCAACCCCATCGGCCCCCGAGCGCGCTGCCTCCCTCTTCGGTCTGTTTTGGTCTCCGCCTCCAGGAAACATCGTCTTTTCGCACCGAGAAGTAGATGATGCCTGCTTGAAGAGCATTGCGATAGAATACAGCATGTCGAGATTACTTATATTTAACGCGCGGGGCTACGGCAGTGTCTTCATCACAAGAAACAACAAAAACCATCGCACACTTTCAACCTGCCTATCGTGACGAGTAATTTCATAGAATTTTCTCATTGATTTCATTTCTCCGAAGCATCTCAGGATTTCACCTCCCTAATCATACAAAATGTCAACCTCACTGGCTGCCTCCTCCCTGCTCTCCGTCAAGAAGTGGGTTGTGGTTGGTGAGTAGCAGAAGAAATGAACATGACTGAAGAATCCTTTCCCTGACTGATATACGCAACCAGTAACTGGTGGAGGCACTGGAATCGGATTGAGTACGACCACCTCACGCAAAGCGCTGCTACCCTATCGGCGAGGCTTCACCTGCACAGCGCAGCGCCCTCCCATGAATCGGAGTCATTTGCCCACTAACTTATGTGACAAGTGTACGCAAAAGCCTTGGCCACCAATGGAGCCAAAGTTTACATCACCGGAAGACGTCAAGAAGTCCTGGAAAAAAGTGCCAGCATCCACGGATCTGCAGACGAGATTAGCGCTGCTGGGGGTCAAATTATTCCCCTTGTCATGGATGTAACCAACAAGGATAGCATCAAGCATGCTGTGCAACACGTCCAAGAAGCCCACGGCTATGTTAATCTGTAAGATTCTTTTTCACTTATTGAATGCATATTCACAGGAGTAGTTTGGCTCCTCATTAGTTGATTGCCGCTAGAAACAAGCTGATCCTACGACTAGGCTTGTGAATAATGCTGGTGTATGGACTACAAAGCCCGAGGCAGGGCCTGAGGACGGACCTGAGAAATTCGGTAGCTCCATGTTCGACCAGTCTATTGATCTTTGGCAACAAGGTATGTTGTCGCAATAACTCCAGTATGACTAAACATGTGCTGCACAATGCTAAACATCTCGCCAAAGCCTTCCTCGTCAACGCTACCTCCATCTACTTCGTAACAGCAGCTTTTCTACCTCTACTAGCCAAATCCATCACCAGCCCCACTAAAAAGATAGGAAGTGTAATCAACACTACCTCCAACAGCGGCCAACTTAGGATGTAAGTTCTCACCATGCATTCATCAATCACCAAGATAAATACTAAAACCTCCAAAGGTCCGAGGCCTCCCAACTAGCCTACAACGTACGTTTCCCCCTCGAATTCCCACTTCTCCACCCCCCTTCTTCATCACTAACCCCACACCCAGGTCAGCAAAGCTGCCGCCGTCCACATGACCCGCCAACTCGCCTTTGATTTCAGCCACGAAAACATCAAGATTCGCGTCAACGGCATCGCACCTGGTACATTTCACTCCCCCCCCCTCTCCCAGACCTACATACATATATCCAGGGCGAAAAAAGAGAAAACATCTAACAAACATGCACCAGGCTGGTTCCCCTCCGAAATGACCACCGGCGGCTCTGACGACAAAAACGAGAGCACCGCCCAAGAAGACTCGGCGTTCCAGCAAGAAATGAAGAACGTCAATGCGCGCGTGCCTCCTGGTCGCATGGGCAAGGCGGAGGATTTGGCTAGTGTACGTTCTTACTCCCCCCTCAAAGTTTGCTCATATCCATCTTTGCTGACGGCGGCTTGGGATAATAGGGTCTTCTCACGCTCGCTACCAACGACTATATCTGGGGTGTAAATCTTGTGGTTGACGGGGGCATTTTGCAAAGTGTTGCGGGCAATATCTAATTTTTTCTTCTACCCTACGGAATTGTATCGTGCGAGGGTTTTGCTTTGGGGGGTGGAAATGGAGTTGATAGGTTGTTTCTTTGGAGGTTAATGCGATGGTTTTTTTTCTTCGAATGTTTTGAAGTAATGTGTATGACTTGGTTTGCTGAATGGTGTGAGGGGGTCGTGCGGATTCGCTTAGGATATTGCGATGTGAATTGGATGCAGTGAGTATTCAGCACACTCTCGCGAGCTATGGGGGAAAGCCTTTGTTCAGAACCATAGTGTTATTGCAGCTTCGTGTCACTACCACATTGCCATCATAGAAAGAATGAGGCATGTGGGGCGGGCACGTCACGTGCGGACATCGGGGTAAATGTCCTCGGACTTTTATTATGTGGGGAAGCTACACATCGTACATATCAAGATGTCGTGCATTTCGCACGGACAACCACACAGCAGGCATTCTGTGACGTATGACATTAGATTACCTGAGAAATTGAAGAAAATGTTTATTTGATTATACTACTACATCACGCAGCAGCACTATTCTCCGCCAATACCCCATTACTCGATTTAATCTCATCCATGCCCTTTCCCTGAGCTTTCTGTTTACTTTTAAAGTACTGCGTAAAATCGTGTCGAACACTGTGAATGCTTTCTGCAAGACTCTTGCCCCAGACGGGGTCGTCTGAGACCTTTTCGCACATCTTCCAGAACTCGTTTCGCTTCTCTGCGTGCGCGGGGTCCCAGAGGCGGTGGAAGTTTTCGCGCGACATGGGGTCGATCATTTCGCGCCAGATCTTAATGCGGATTTCCGAGTAGAGGTCGAGGATGGAGTCGTCGAGTTCGTCGAGGTGGATGCCGGTGAAGCAGTCGTAGAGGGAGCCGACGTCGGCGAAGCCGCCGGTTAGGCCTAGGCCGCCGCTGAGGAAGAATTGATTAATTTTTTGTCCAAGCAATAGTGATTAGGGAAGCTTACAAGGGATTACATAAGTGGGCTGCGTCAGCGACTAATAGGATTCTGCCAACTCGGAAGCTGGGGGCACATCTTTGCTGGAGCTTGTACGGGCTCATGCTAACGAGTTTGTACTCATTGGGCTTTGGATGTCCAACTAGAATCTGCTCAAAGCGGATGAGCTGGCGCTTGACCAATTCGTCTTTTGAAAGGCCATCCGTGTCGCCGTACGTCACTCGCCAAAGACCATCTTCTGTGATTTTGGCGGCCATGTACCAATCAGTCGGGTGGACCACGAAATTTGAGTCCCACCAGCCGTGACGCTCGTCAAAGGGGAGGTAGACCTAGGAAATTAGTGACACATTTCTCCGCACATCGACGGAAGACGTACATTGGTGGCGATAATCTGTGCTGGCAGCGTCTCTCCTGGGTATTCTTTCCCGAATAGTGCAGTGCGCACACCACTTGAAGCACCATCCGCACCAACGAGGTAATCGCCAGAGATCTTCTTCTTTTCCCCCTCGGTCGTCTCTATCACTGCTGTTGCGCTCTTCTCATCTTGCTCCACGCCTACAAGCTTATGGCCCCATAGAATCTCGGTATTGGGATAGCTTTCGAAATGCTTGACGAGTAGCGGGCCAAGTCTATCCAGCGGCAAAACAACCATGGCATACTTTGAATCTTCTGGTTCGCGGCCCATACCGCCTAGAAAGGTCCCATCCGGCTCACGCCAACATACACCTTTGGGCGTGAATCCTCTTGCACGGACATCATCGATAATACCGGCACGATGGAAATCATACACCGCAGATGGGGCGTAATGGGCGGCCCGGGGATTACCGTTGATCTGAGTATCAGCATCGAGGATAGTAACTTTGATGCCGAGGTTTTTCGCTAGTAGTATACCTAGCAAGAGACCAGAAGGGCCGGCGCCCACAATAATGACCTAATACGAGTCATTTCTAAATCCATAGAGCGTAAAGGGACGGCAGAACTTACGTGGTTAAGTTTCGGCATGGTGGTGATTTGATACTTGTTACTGCAAGAGCTGCAGGAACATATGTTAGAAAACGTGCATATTTTAATTACACATCCCTCATGGTGGGGCAAGCAATTCCCCACGCCCCAGCCCTCTCCATGACTTTCTCCTCGATGTCCCAGTCGTATCGCGGTGCGGGGAAGATCTGAA